GGGGGGGGGGCAGCCAGTGTGGGGAAGGCCAGCGGGCCTGGGATCTCCTCGACTCTTCTCTGGTCGGGGGTAGGGGCAGGGGAGGGAGTCCCCGGGGCAGCTCATGCTCTGGGTGAGCAGGGCCCAAACCCGCTCCTTGCCCCACTCTCTGGACCTGCTCGGACAGGCCGCCCGGAAAGGCCTGGCTGCTTCCCTCAGGGAACCTTGAGCAAACCACCACAGCCTCAAATGACTGCCGGGGCGGAGCAGCTCTGGAAGGACTAGCGGTTGATCTGTCCTCCTGTGTCCGGTGCCCAGCATCGTGCCTGGCACGATGGAGCGTCCCCAGCTTGTGGGAGGGAGGGAGAGGAGGTGGCATTTTCACAGGGCCCCCGTCTCAGCACCAACTCAGGTTGCTCCTGGGATGACCTGAAGTTGCCTAGTCCCAGCGCACACCCCTTTACCCTTATTTCTGGGGCCTTGGGGTGGAGGGGTAGTTCAACCATGTCTCCACTCCACCTCTCCTGGGTCTTGTCAGGAAAAGGAGGCCAGAGCCCACTGTGGGTGACATCAGACACGGAGGGGAGGTGCTGGTGAGCAAGGCGGGGAGTGGGCTTCTGGAGGCCCGATATAAGCTCCCCCCTCCCAAACACAGCAGGCAGCCTACCCACCCCGCACTCAAAGGCTGCACCATCTGTCCTGGGGCGGGGAGGATGGGAAATGCCCCCGACCCTGGGCTTGTCACCACGCCCCGAGCCTGGTCAGCCCTCAGCCCGTGCTCCCAGGACCTCCTACCAGCGGGAACTCGTGGGACACCCTTCCGTCAGGGGGCAGCTTGGCCCCGAAGCCTAGGGCGGGAAACATCTTGTCACTGTCGTAGTGCTGGATGATCTCCCCGACGGCAGTCAGCGCCAGCGCATAGGCATTCAGCTGGTAGGGGCTCATGTAGTGCAGGGACGTGGACTGCGACGGGTTCCCTGCGACACGGGACACGGGAACATTTGCTGGTCTCCACACTCCAAGCACCGCAGGCTCAGAATGCAGAAGGGGGTACCCGAGGGCACCCCTAATTTTCTTTATCCTTGATTCCTTTCTTTCTCTCTTGCCACACCTTCAATCCTTCAGTATATCCTGGTTGCTAAACCTTCAAAATATATGCAGCAGCTCACCTCCTTCTCCCCTCCTCTGTGACAGCCCCCTCCCCTTGTCTGCAGGAAAGCAGCAACCCAGACCATCAGTCGGCTTCCGCCCTTGTGCCTGGAGTCCGGCCAGAGGAGTCTGTGAAAGCTCAGGCAGCTAAGGCCATGCCTCTTCTCTGCTCCAAAGGGTCCCATTTTGCCCGGAACCAGACCCACAGTCCTTATGTGGGGGGGGGGGGGGAGCGGCAGGTACAGGCCCACAGGGTCTGGCTTCCGGTGACCTCCCTCCTTGCCTCTTGCCATCCCCTCCCCTCACTCACTCAGGCCTGGCCCCCTTGCCGTCCCCACCTCAGGGCCTCCGCAGTGGCTTATCCCTCTGCTCTGGGACACTTTACCGCAGAGGTACACGTGGCTTGCTCCCTCTACTCAAGTGTCCCCTTCCCGGTGTGGTCTTCCCTGAGCGGCCTCCTGAAAATCACAGCCTCCCCCAATACTCCCTATCCCTCTTGCTGGCTTAAGTGTCCCCCCACCCCCCGCCCGCCGTAGCCCTCGTCACGACTGGCAATTGCCCACATTTTACTTATTGAATCATCAAGGGCATTACGTCACAGACTGCCAATGAGAAGATCCTGTCTCTACCTGCTACCAGCGGTACGCTCTTCCATAGCTCCTTACCTCTCAGCCTCAGTTTCTCGTGTGTGGAGTGGGGGTAACAGTCCCACCTCATGGGATTGTTGTGAGAATGAAGGAGGTGGGATTCTTACAACTCTCGCCTCAGCTCTGAATCTTACCACTCTAGGACGCTGGGGCCCACTGGAGGAGTCCCAAACCGGGGCTGCTCTGACAGGCATGGGAGAGAGCACAGAGCACCGCTAATGGGGGTCTAGACTCTAAGGGAGGTGGTGACTTTTCTAACAGTGTAAAATTGGGCACTGGTCACTCGTGGTGACTCAGGCAGCCCACCCTGGAGAAGGTCAGTGATGGGAACGGAGCTGGGGAAGCCCCGGCAAGGCTGGAAACTGGGGTTCCTGCCCTCAATGAGGACCAAAGAGCTCCCATCCAGCCTGGGGGTTGGGCTGAGCAGAGGATGTGAGATTTGATCCTGTGAGGAAACATCTTTTCTCCAGCTCTCTCCATGGGCCCAGAGCCCAGATTTGTTAGTGACCACGGTCCAGTCTGGGGATACCTTCACCGTCTTGGTTATCCCTTTGGCTCTCCAAGACTAAGTACCTCCTTTTCAGTGAAGATGAGGCTGGAGAATATGGGCGAGCTGGTTCCCAGCTAGAGCCAACTACCACAGTTTTGAAAAGCCCTCCCTTTTCCAGCCCCCAGCCCCACTTCAGCTCCTCTGCCCATCCCCCCACTCACCATTGGAGGCTGTGAAATCGATGGCCACTGTGAAGTTGATCTGGGTCCTGGAAGAGGAAGAGCACCAGGGGAGTTACCTGGACAGGGAAAAATCTGGCCTCCACCCCAGCCCCACAGCTTGCCAGACACGTGGCCTTAGTAAAGTCACTCATCTTCTTCCAGTTCTGGAAAACAGGGATAGTCATGCCAGCCACAGCCTCCCCACAAAGGATTGTTGTGAGCATAAGAGGTAGGCAGTGTGAAACTCTCTGAAGGGACTATGTTCTGTGTGGACACATGGTGACAATTACTTATTTCCTCCCCAAACCCTGCCCCTGGGCCCACCTGAGTCCAGTGGAGTAGGGTCTCACTGTGTTTCTTGCTCAAATTCAGTGTCAGAGGTAGGGTTAAGGCTTATTTGACAAAGAAGAGAGCCAAAGAGATATTGTGCATCTCTGAGGAAGAACAAAACATCACCCATGATACTGTCTTGCCAAATACTTGAACCTGAATCCAACTGAGCTTTCTGAGCTATCTCCCAGTTGTTTATAGGAAATACAGGGGACAGAGGAACATGTTCAATGAGAGCTGGGGGATGCAGCCAGCAAAAGCCAGTCCGGGGGAACCTGTGAGAAGTCCAGGGCCCCCACAGATCTCGTGCATCAGAATCCCTTGGTGGGGAGGAGGACTCTGTTTTAGCAAGCCCTCACGAGCTTTGGAGGAATCAACAGATGAAAAGAGAATTAAGGGACAAATCGACCAGTCGCAATATATGGATCTTGCCTGGATTCCTGATTCAAATAAGCCAATTAAACAACTTTATAAGACAACTGGGGAAATTGGAACACTGACTAGATATTTGGTATCAAGGAACTATTGGATGTTTAGGTGTAATTACAATATTGTGGTTATATTTTACAAAGAGAAAGTCCTGCTATTTTAGAGCTATATCCTTAAGTATTAGGGGGATAAAATATGATGTCTGTGATTTGCTTCAAAACAATTGGATGAAAGAGAGCATGCATGGAACAAGACTGGCCAGGAGTTGGTTAACTGTTAAATCTGGGTGAAGGGTGCTTGAGGGTTCGTTATACCTTCTCTCTACTTCTGCATGTATTTAGAATTTTTCCATAATGAAAAGTTTGGTTTTGAGGATTCAGATCCAGGGTTGAAGCATTCTGAGGGTTTGCTGCTCTAGTTCTGTGCTAGATACTGACAGAACAAAGCTGACAAGACAGGAGCCCCCGATAAAGTCTAGTCTTGTGGTCCCCATTCTGCAGTGACCAGAGAGTCACTAGGGGGAGCTTGTTTAAAAAGAAGATCCCAGGGCCCCGCTCCCAAGGATGCCAGTTCAGTCGGTCTAAGATGGGGCCCCAGAATCTGCTTCTTCAGTAGACATTCCCTGCCCTCATCCAGAGATGGATTCTGAGGAGGGGGTTCTGGGATCACACTGTGGGGACACTCTGTTCTGGTGGTTCTGAGTTGGCATGATGTAAGATCAGCCACAGCCCTCTCTCCACCTGACCACAGATGAGCTGCTACTCATGGAACCATTGCCCCTAGAAAGGGTGAAGGACATGGTGAGCAGGAGACCCAAGGTAGGGTCTGCTGGCCAGAGACGGTCCGGCCCACGCTCTTTCCCTTTGTCTGCTGCCTGGAGGCAGAGCATCCAGCGGACTCCAACCTCTGAGGGAGACAGAGAAACAAGATGGCAAGAGCCTGGGTCCCTAACTGACTGTGTGGAGCTTCTCCCTGCCACCCCATGAATGAAAAATAAGCCTTTGTTCGTATTAAGCCTTGAGGTCACAGGATTATTTGTTACAGCGGTTGACCTACCCTATTCAACCGCTGTTTGTTGTCATCTCTCACTGGGGAATAGAGAGATCATGTCTTGTCCATAGGGAAAGAGCTCTGCTCCCAGGGCCACCATCGGGAGGGTGGTTCTGGCCTATGGGACCACAACTGAGGGACACCACCGGCCGGGCTCTTCCGAATCAGGGTGAAGGAAGAGGCAAGCCTTACTGCATAACTGGTCTCCCCCTGCTCTGGGTTCTGAAATGACTTGGGGTAGGAAGGGGCTGGAAAGCAGGTTCTTTTGTGGGACAGCTACTCCCTGCAGGCTCGCCCCTCCTGCCTCAGGGCAGAGCAGGGCAGAACGGCTGCTGAGCACCCAGCCCCATCTCCGCCCTGGGGCCAGAGCCGAGGTGGCCGTCTGCACTCTCCGGGGCCAGGTGGGCAGGGGAGGGAAGCCAGGGAGGAGAGGATCCCGAGACCAAGGCCCCCATCAGCTGCCTGTCTGGACACGCAGGCCTGAGAGAGCTCTCACTCCCTGGAGCCGGCTCCCTCACTCAGGTCTCTGGCGAGGACAAGCAGGTGTGGGGGGCGGGGGGAGGCCACGGCTGGCACCAGCGGGCTACCCTGCCCGGTGCTTGCGGGTCCAGCTCTGCGCAGAAGGCCCGCCTCTGAGGGCTCCTTCTCCGTGAGACATCACAGCACCCAGCCCTTCCACCCGGCTCGGCCTGCCTGCGTCACAGCCCACCTGGGAGCTGTGAGGCAGGCAGGGCCCGGATTACTCAGTACTACGGAAGAAATGCCGCACGCGGGGCCCGGAGGAGGCCGGCCACGGGCTGGGCGTGCGGCCACCAGCAAGTTCTGTAAAATGGAGATCATCATCCTCGCCCTGCCCACTATGTTCTGTAAATGAGGGGCGCTGTGCCAAGAGGAAGGATAAATAGGATGCGGATTGTTTGAAAATTAGCAGGTGCTCTAGAATGTGAATGCAGGGTGCTTCATGAGCTAGGGAACAGGGCAGTTTTGATGGGGGAAGGGAGCAGGGGCAGGGTCTGGGGTGGGCTCAGAGGAGGGGCAGATAGAGGCAGCGGGGGCCTCCGGGCGACTGCAGGGAGGTGTGTGCTCAGCGGGTAGGAGAGCTTGCAGCCTTGAAACCAGTTTCAAGGCCCTTCCCAGGGCCTGACTTTTCCCTCTGCCCTGGAGAAGCTGGCAGCCAAATGCCCACTTGGCTGGGATGAGCCTTTGGCACCTGCCCTGCCTGTCTTCTTTCCAGACAGGTGTAGTCACTCACCTGCCTGCACCTGTGGGCTCTCGGCTCCCCACACCCTGACCTGGCCCCTGTTCTGGGAGGGAGCATACTAACCTCACCTCGGAGTCAGGTTCTCTTTCCATGAGCTGTTGGCTGGAGCCCGCAGGTTCTCCTGCCTGCCTTGCCTGGATGCCAACCCCTCTGGTTCTTTCTGCTCCTTAAGCTCATATTTGACCACCTGTTGGCTGTGGGACCATCTGATGGCTCATCCCCCAGTGCCTCCTGCCCCTTAGAGGTCCCTGATGCCATTGGGCAGGTTAATCACTGTCCCCACCCCCGACAGACCAGGCATCAGAAGCTCAGAGAAGGAAGGGCCATTAGAATTCACTCCAACCTCTGTGTGTATAGAGAAGGAAACTGATGCTCAGGGAGGGAAAGTGACCTGCCCAAAGTAATCCAGCAAATTCATGGCTAAGAAGCGCCTAGAGCCTAGGCCTCTCATTCCTAGTCCAGAGCTCTTTCCGTCTCCCTAGGCCCTTGGTTCTCTTTGTCACGGAGTCCGTGCCACCTCGGGGTCCCATCCCTGCAAGGGGACCTGACAGGACCCAGGCTGGCCTCCATGGCTCAGGAGGACCCTCTGTAGCCACTCAGGATCCAGGGGCATGCAGGGCTCTGGGTGAGTTGTCCAAGGCCAGAAACAGGAGTTTGCTCAGGGCTCACAGGCTATGTCCAGGGCCTCAAAGAGACCAGAGCTGCTCATGCCCATATGTGGGGCCCCTTCCCTCTCCCTGAAGCCAAAGAAACCGGGCTGGATCTCTTCTCACCCTCCTTTGATGTAGTCAAGAAATGTGCACTCGGACTCCACAGCAAAGGAAAGCAGCGTGACCTTGAAAACAAGAGGGAGCTTGGTCAGTACAGAGCTCAGAGCTGCGGGGAGATGGTTTGCTGAAAGTGAGGGGGAACGCAGCACCCGCCAGGTTTGCCTACTCCACTGCATACGGTACCCACAACCCTATGAAGCACAGCTATTATCCCATTTTCTAGCCAAGGAAACTGAGGTTCAAAGAGGTGATGCAATGTGCCCAAGGACACTGCCGGGACCTGGCCGAGTGAGAAGCGAACTCGGGTCTGACTCCAGAGCCTGCCTTTTTGACCTTGATCCCCACCTGCATCAAGGCAGGGCCCAGTCGCTGTTCCTGGAGCACCGGGGCTCAAACCCAGAGCACAAGTTTCCCCTAAGTGGATACCAGCATGGAGTGTGGATGGCGAGGGGGTCTTCCCGACACAGGCCTACCAACACGCCAGTGCTGACAAGCTCCCTGTCCCGCTAACGATCCATCCTAAAACATGCCCCTTTGGTCTGCGCTTAGATCTTCAACCTCGCTGTCCCAACTCACCCCTTGGATGTCTCTTGATCTCTACCTTCTCAGACCCAAGACCCCCATAAGCAGCCTGTTCCTGCCCGGGAGGTAACCGACCTGCGGCCCCCTCTCCAGAGCAGACGCCTTTTGACCTCTGCCCCGTGACGGCTTTGGCATTGACTGTGCCTAGACAGGCAGCTACCTGGCGGCTCATTACAATAATGATTTAGGATCGCGGAGACAAGTAAGTGAAAGCCCGGCTGCCAAAACCAATTAAATGAGGCAAGGTTGGGGCAGGGGATCTTCTTTCTGTGTCAGAGAACTCTACCCTAGAATTTGGGGAACCCCCTACTGGTGCAGGCTCTGCTATCTTTACCAACTCTCTGGGTAGGCCAGGGAGGGCCTCTGCTTGACATCAGCCCAAATAACAGGAGGGTCTGTGGGTGCTGTGCTGGGCCCTGGAGACCCTACCTGCTGTGGATAGGGTGTTAGGCGCCTGGATGGACAAAGCCTCCTTTCACTAGGAGTGGACTATGGCAGTGGCCTCTACCCTGACCGATGCCCGCCAGACTCCCTGGGGAGCTCTGAAAACCTCTTGCAGCCTGGGTGAGGACCCCAAACCAGTTACATCAGTTTTGGGGGTAGGCCTCTGGCCTTGGACCCTTTTTTAGCTCCTCACATGAGTCTAACCTGCAGTTGGGGTTGGAACCCCACTCCCCACCTACCACCCCCCCCCAAGGCCTTGGGATGAAGTAATTCCCTAACTTGCCTGACCATATGGATTCAGCCACTTGCTGCTCAAAGTGTGGCCCCTGGACCAGCAGCAGCAGCATCACCCCGATGCTGGTTAGAAATGCAGACATGCAGATTCTTGGCATTTTAACAAGATCCCCAGAAGATTCTGCACATAGTAAGTAAGGTATGAGAAGCACTAAACACAGCTGCCTGGGCCCCAGCCTGCCTCCTAAAATGGAACCCCAGGGAACTGGACTGGGTATATGCATTTTAATAAACATCCTGGGTGGTGCAGTCGGTTAAGTGTCCGACTCTTGATTTCAGCTCAGGTCATGATCTCTGGGTCATGAGATCAAGCCCCGTGTCGGGCTCCACGCTCTGCGGGGAGTCTGTTTGAGATTCTCTCTCTCCCTCTCCCTCTGCCCATCCTGCTCACGTGAGAGAGCTCTTTCTCTCTCTCTCTCAAATAAATAAATCTAAAAAAAAAAAAAAAAAAGCATCCTGGGCCCTGACTGATTTCTTATGGTGAAGACTGACCCGAAACAAATCATCAAATCATGTCCCCTGTCTGGGCCTGTTTCCTTAGCTCTAAGAATACCGAAGGAGATCAGTTGTTTCCAACTTTTTTTTTTTTAGCTGTACATCCAAGCTTTCTCAGCTGGGCAAGGTGCTGCCTCCCCTAGGGGCAGGGAAACGGGTGGGAAAGTTTCGGGGGTCTGCCAGTGACTGCGGCACCACGGTAGCCAGGGCTGAGGCCAGGGGTGCTAAGCACCCCGCAATGCACAGGAAAGTCCCGGGACATGAAGAATGATCCTGTCCAAAATGCTGACAACATTCCCACTGAGAGACACTGCGGCTTTGGAGGAAGCAAATATTACTCCAAGCCTGACTGGGAAGCTGTTAAAATTCGTCTCCTTTGAATGAGCAGAGTCCTTTGCAGTTTACTGGAAGGCCTCTCGAGCTCTCTGTCACAGCCAGCCAGTGCAGTAAGCAGGGTAGGGATGATTTATTAGCCCCATTTTACAGATGGAGAAAATAAGGTTCCTCAGAGGAATCCCAGAGCTCCCTGACTAGGACCTCTTCTAGGTCTGGAGTTGCAGTTTGCTTAAATCTAACGACTAAGTGTGGCTGCATTAGCTGACGGGGCTACGGACCTCTACAGTAGGGAGGGACAGGAAGGGTACAATGCTGAACATATTTGCAGGGCAAAGATGCTGGCTTGTTCGAGAAATGCACTGTGGGCTCCACCTCAGGGCCTTTGCACATGTTGATCCCTACAGCTAGAATTCTCTTTCCCCAATATCCTCAATACTTGCTCCCTTACCTTCTTCGAATCTCTGCTCAAACATCACCTTCTCGGAGAAGAGCTTTTCCTTGCCTACTTAATATAAAATAGTAGTTTTGTCTCTGGCATTCCCTAACCCTTTACCTTCTTATACTTTTTTTCCCACAGCAAACATAACCACCTGACAAATACAGGTACATGTATGCACATATATTTGTTTTCTGTCTCCCCCACTAAAATATAAGTACCAGGAAGGCAGAGATTTGGGTCTGTCTTGTTCCCAGCTGTATCCCTCATGCCTAGAACACGGTAGCACTCAGGAAAGGTTTGTTGTATAAATGCATGAATGTCCTGAAGATCAGCCCCCCAGAAGCCACGGGGATCATCGCGGCAAACAGGGGCATCGCCGGCTGCCAGCTCTCAGTTTAACTGTAGTGCTGACTGCCATCTCTAGCTCTGTGACCTTGGTTGTGCCTCTCTGGCTCTGTGACCTTGGGTGAGTCACTTCCCTGCTGGCAGCCTTGGTTTTCCTCTTTTATGACGAGGGGATGATAATGTCTGCCTCTCAAGGAAACAACCTGTGAAAAGCACCTCAGTGGGGAGTTCCCCAGAGTTAAGGGCCCAATGCACACTATTCCTCTTCCTCTCCCTCTCTGCAGGAAGTCCCCGCGGGAGTTTCTCTCTGGGATTTCTCATTCTGTATCACAGCGCCTGTGGTGTGGCCCGTCTCCCGTCTACTGTCTACACTGGCCACCCCCCACCCCCCGGGGCTGTTGCTCCATCCGCCCCACCCGTCTCCACCCCCAACTCTCCAGGTCTGGTTCCCACACCCCGCACGAGCCCACACAGACACACACACACGACTTCTGGCGGCGGACCTAGCTCAGGCCTCAGAATGTTTACACCTGGCTGCAGAGAGGGGCGTGGCTACTCACGGTGCCGGAATTCACGTATTTCTTTTTCTTCATTTTCTTTTTTGGGTTTACCACCTGCAGGAGAAAAAAGGTACCAGGTGAGAAGCATCTCTAAGCAGTCAGGGGTGGGCTCCTAGAGCTTCTAACGACCCGTGGGTATGGCTCCAGCCCTAGCAAGCAGAATGTGGGGTGTGAAGACTGGGGGTCCAGGGGAGGAGGGTCCGGGAGGTTTTGTGAGAGACTGGCATTTAGATTTATGCAAGTGGGCTTCCTGATTAGACCCGGTTCCACGACCAAACATACCAGGAATAATATTTATTTAACCTTCTTCCCCACTGCTCCCCCAAACACGTCCTCCACCCAATGCAGCCAAAGGAGGCTCCATGTCGCAAAGGGGCCCTGTATGTGCCTGCCCTTGTATGTCGGCTCAGGCTGCTTCCCTCACCCCGAATGCCTTCCCCTCCACCCTCCACCAGTTCCCATCCTCCCTGCTCCTCCTTGGAGATCCAGCCCTAGGGCTGCCCTGGGGCCTTTGGGGCTCCCCTTTCCACCTCCCCCAACTACAGTCTAGTTAGAATTTCCTTAACTGTTCCTCATGTGAAAGCTTTCGTTCCAAACCAGACCTGTCATTGGAGAATATATCACAGGACTATTTAGCAGATGCTAAAAAATCACTTGTGGGTGGGCTTAACTCAGTGGTCTCAACTGCCCGCCCCCCCCCACTCCGATATTTGGCCATGTTTGGAGACACTTTGGTTGTCATGACTGGGGGAGAAGACAGAGGCCAGGGACGCTGCTGAACATCAGGCCATGCCCTGGGCAGCACCCCCCACCCCCACAAAGAATCTTCGAGTCCAAGATGTGGGTAGCGTGGAGACTGAGAAGCCAGGGGGCCCAGTGAGGGGGAGCACCTTCCCCGTGAGCCCTCCAGGGGGCTTTCACATGGGCTGCATCTGCACTGGCCGGAAGCCTCACGGCTCTTCTGTTTCCACGGGGGAAGGTCAGGCCCGACCTTGCCCTCATCCCCCATCAAAGGAAGCAAGCGGGTTGATTTCCGCACCGCTCTGTCCCCTCCACGTGTCTGGTGAACTCACGGCCCTTCCCTTCCCCCACCCGCTGTTCTTTTGCTCGCAGGGATGGCCAGGTTTGTCTTCGGCAGAGGCCTCTTCTGTCTGAACGAGTGTTGATACCCATTCCTGGAGATCAGGAAACTAAGGCCCAGGGACAGAAGTGATTTGCCCAAGGTCACGAGGTGCTCTGCGTAGTGACAAAATTAGAAACCAGGTTCCTGCCCCGAGGTCAGTGCTGCCTCCCTGGGTATCACCTTGGTAACAAATACAAACACATTCCTTCACAAATGTTTATGGGGTGGGAGTGGGAGACATCGGTTCCTCTCTTCTAGAATCTTCACTCCAGTTGGAGAAAGATTTGTCCTCAGGAGACAGAGGACAAGAGGCACCAAAAAAGGGGAGCCAGAAACGTGAAAGGAGTTGGAGGAAGGAAGGACCATTCCTGGCCGAGCATCAGCGAAGGCCCCCCAGGAAAGGTGGCGCTGAAGGCAGGTGCTGAGGGCAGGAAGGGTTTGGGCATGGGGAGCTGGAGGGAGGGCATTCCAGTTGGAGGAGATAGTTTGGGGGAGGGGGGACGGCTACAGAACTGGACGGCAGAACCACAGGGTGAAAGAGCAAACTGGGCTGGCTGGAAGAGAGCCTAGAGTGCCAAGTTAAATGTCTGAACATCACCCAGCAGCCAGCAGGGAACTCTGATGACCTCTAAGCTGGGAGGGGGCCATGATCACAGCAGGCTCTAGGATGCTGGGCCCCGACAGAAATGAGCATGAGGGAGAAGGAGAGATATCAGGGGCATGTCTACCTGCCCGGTTCTGCCACCCAATGGCTGTGTGACCCTAGGCAAATTACTTGACCTCCCTGTGCCTCAGTTTCCTCATCTATAAAATTGGAATAAAAAGTACCTACCTTACAGAAAGGTATGGGGATTCAATAGGTCAATACAAGTAAGGCGTTTAGGACGTGGTCTGGTACGTAGTGAATACTATGTTACGTGTCAGCCGCTATTACTTTTTATTACTACCACTACTACCACGCCCACGAGTCCAGCAAGGTGAGAGGTAATGAGGGCCTGGGGGTTGTTGAAACAGGTACTGAGCTATAGCAAAACAGCACTGTCAAGAAGTGACTACAGATCTCGGGCCCAGGGCGGGCCTGAGGGGGCGGGAGGGAAAGGGGTCAGGGGTGACCAGGTAGCCACAGAAGGAAGAGCTGGATTTGGGGTCCCAGGTGGGAAGTTCACGTGGGGAGGGCTGGCGAGCTCTGCAGGTGGAAATTGTGAACCTAGGGAGAGAAGCCCGGAACAATCTCAGAGCCCCCACAGACACGAAGGCCACACAGATGATGTGGTGTTCACAGACACCTTCATGGAAAGTTCCAAGGCCGCACGGTGCCTCAGTGTCCCAATCTGTCCCATGAGGGTGTGGAACTTTGAGATCTGAATACATCTCAAACTTTTATTCCCTAGTAGCCCTCCCAGCTGAGGAGAACAAACATGGACTCCTGGGGGTCTGGGTGTCGCCCAAAGACCTGGCCATAAGCGCATTTCTTTGAAGTCTTCTGTGTTACCTTTAAATTAGCCTGTATTCCACATTTCCACTCTCTAATTATAACTGTTTTAATATTAAAGCCATGTTTTGTTCTCAGATCCTCATGTGAAGTGGGCACTGAAGAAACGCCCTGTTTATTCTGAGGTTTCGAGCACTCCCAGCACACAACCCCACCCCCACCAGCGAGCCTCTCCAGCCCGCAGGGACCGCACCCTGATGGTCCACGTGGGGCACCGTTGCCCCCTGGGGGCCAGGCCAGGAACTTCCCAGCTCCCAGGCTGGAATTCTCAGCCTTCTCCTCTTCCTGGCCTCACACCCCCAGGAGCCCTAAGGCCCCCAGGGCAGGTCTGGGGTCGGCCCTCCTGTGCAAGCAAGCCACCGAGTGGCTCCCAGGGGCCAGGAGCTGTGCTGGCTTTGGGAATACAATAGTGAGTGAGACGCCACCCCCACCCTTACGGGCCTCACGGTCTTTAAGGGGGTGGGAAGTATGACAAACAGGTAATAATAGCCAGGGGGGTGGGGGAGGCAGGGAGGGAGCACTGAGGAGAGGTATTTCCCTCAGACTTTGCGGGTGGAGTGAGTGTGCAAGCAGAGAAGGCTTCCTGGAGGAGAAATCATACCCAAAGGGAGTCCCCAAGGATCCACAGGCCCAACCAAGTGAAGAGCAAAGGGGGCCCCAGGGGAGAACCGTGGAGCGAAGCACAGAGGCTGAGCCAGCAGGGAGGTTCAGAGAGCCTCAGAGGGCGTAATGGGGCTGCAAGTCATGGTGAACAGAGGGAAGGGGCAGGGGCAAGACCCCAGGGGCCTCCTAGGGGTGGGAGGTGTGGGTCTACTTACACACACCCACTGATTGCACGCAGACTGTAGGTTGCTGGGGCATGGTGCCCGTGTGGAGGAGCTTGGACTCCACCTTGTAGGTAAAAGGCCCTGTAGTATCTCAGCTGGGGTGGGGGCGTCATTCTGAATCTCCTCCCTGCCCCTCTGTGTAAACCCCGGCCAGGCAGTGGGTGGGATGCCCAACCAAAGGTTAAGCAGAGAGGCCATGTGATCAGATTACCATTTCGGAGGAGGCCTTGGATTACCGAGTGGGGATGGAAGGAGGTGGGAAGGCTGTTAGGGGTGCAGTTGCAAAGCCCCCCACACAGCGGGGAGGGTGGCGGTGGGGGTGGATGGGAGTGAAAGGAACAAAATGTCAGAGTCTGTGGGGAGGAGGAGGAGTGGGAGTTCAGTTGTGGAGTGGATGTGGGGTGAGGGGCAGGAGGCATCAAGAATGACTCCCCAGGCCGCCATGATGGCGGCCCAGGAGATGGAGCCGGCTGGCCAGGGAGAGGGGATAGCTGTGGGGAGGCTTCAACCAATGCCTTCAGTGTGGGAGGGCTGAGTCTGAGCAGGGGCCAGCAGACAGGTGGACATCCGAGTCAGACACCCAGGGTGACGCCAGGGCCCAAGATGGCCTTTCCTGGCAGAAGCCTGTTCTCTCTTCAGGCAGCTGGACTCTAGAAAGGCCTTCCAGTGACACTGCCCACAGGGCAAGGCCGGCCCCCCTGGGACTGCCAGGGTTTAATTCCTTCTCTACCCAAGGGTGTTTCCGATGGAGAAAATGAGTCAATCCAACCTTTTCTGCTTTTAGCTTGAGAGCTCATGGCCTCTTCTGAGCCTGTCAAGCACTCTTAAAAGCCAAACTCCAAGAGATGTAATCCCTTCCCTTGCCTTCCCTAAAAATCTCCTTAAAGGCAGCCGGGGAAGGATGGAGCCCGCTTCCCTCCGCCTGGGTGGGGGAACGAAGACAGCCTTTCCCTTTGCTGATGCAGAAAACAAAGCAATTAACTGTGAGGATCAGAGCCCTTTCAAAGAAATGCACCCACGCTCCATCTTCACAATGGCCTTGTTCAACTGAATTCAGTACGTGCTTGGATCATAAGCACCTACCGGGTGCCCCTCGCTGCCCAGGCCCACGTGAAGGGAGGGCCCAGGAAGGGCTGTCCCCCAGCCTGCCCTTAGGGAGCTTCCATCTAGCCGGAACTCGAGACCTGCCCACTCAGAACAGAGACCCAGGGTGAGGGAGGGAGAGTGTGGAGCGGTTCAGACTCGGTGATGGGAGTCGAAGCCTGATCTTCAACGTCACTAGCTGAGCGGGTTGTTCCTGTGAGGAGAGAGCCCATCTGTAGGGCTGCTGTGAGATGGAAATCTCCTGGCACACTGGCACTCAACAGATGATACTGGAAGACAGCAGTGACGTTCACTAGGGGCCAGGCACTGTTCTAGTGACTTCTTTAATTCTCATTGTGCCTGGCACAGAGTGGTTCAGGAACTTAGCCCACAACACGTGGCCAGTATGGTAGAGGCAGGGTATGAACCCAAGCAGTTATTAGGGTTAGAAGTATCTGTGGTTGGGGTACCTGGGTGGCTCAGTCGGTTGAGCATCTGCCTTCGGCTCAGGTCATGATCCCAGGGTCCTGGGATTGAGCCCCGTATCATCATCATCGGGCTCCCTGCTCAGTCGAGAGCCTGCTCTCCTTTTCCCTCTGCTCCTCCCCCCCACCCCTCTCGTGCTCTCTCTCACTCTCTATCTCAAATAAATAAATAAAATCTTAAAAAAAAAAAAAAGTATCTGCGGTTAAGTGGGTCTAGCACAGACTGTGCTGTCCATGAAGCTCACACGAGGGAGAAAGCATGAGACCAGAGTGCTGGGAAGGCCACCAGAGGAGCTGGAACTCAAGCTAAATTTGGAAGCTGGGAGGGCATTCCAGGAGGGCGAGCACAAACAAGCAAAGGCTCAGCGGAAGACATTGTCCTTGGAGGGCAAACACTATTATCTCCAGAAAGATTGGGGGCCTTGTCCAGGTTCTCCAGATCCAGATGGAGGCATCCTGATTCCTGTTCCTCTGATTCTTCCCTTCCAGAAACAGTAAGATACTCATCAGGCCCTGAAATTGTTCTGATTGAAGGCAGAGGGCCACCTTGAGCTCAGGACCTTGGATCTCCCCCACCTTCTGCCCCACTGACACCCCTCCTCGCCCATCTTGTTAGAAGAGCGCTTTGTGGGGGGCACTAGAACTCAATGATTTCGGGAGCCAGGCAAGCCGACACTGTTTGCCTCTTGATTCTGCCACTTACTGAACCATGTGTCTTTGGGCAAATTCCCTCAATTCTCTGAGACTCAGGCTCCTTTACTGTAGAATGGGACTATAAGAGCCACCTCCCAGGAGAACATGCAAAACCCCCAGCCCAGCCCATGGCCCACGGTAGTCCTCAGTGGCTGGGAGTTAGGCACGATCAGAGCAAACCCCAGACTTCGGGTGTCCGCCTCACCTCGTAGATGTTGAACTGGCTCTGCCCACGGGCCAGCTCCCGGTAGCTGGTGGTGAATTCTCCAATGAAGTCGTGGCTGCAAGAGAAGGTCTCTGTGAGATGGTGTGGCCCGGGCCGCGCACTGCCTCTGCCCATCTCCCCACCTCTCACGTCCCTTCCCCTGGCTCCCGATTCTGCCTGGGGCCTCGGCTCCAGGGGCGCACGCCGGCAGAGAGGCTGGGTCTCTGGGAGGAGTCCAGTGTCCCCCGCAGAACAGGAAAGCCAGCGGTCACCTAGCAAAGAGCGGGGCCCCAGAGAAGGGGACCCACTCCTACTTGGAGTCTTGTTTGAACAAAACCAGCAGTGTTGGGGCTTTCAGGGACGACCGGAGAAATTTAAATATGAAATGAATATTAGATGGTATTCAAGAATTACTGTTCAACATGTCAGGTGTGATAATGGCATTCGAGGTTCTGTAGGAAAATGTCCTTATTTTTTTAGATGTTCTCAATGAGATATTTAGAGGTAGAAATGCCTTGATGTCTGTAATTTAAACTACATCAGCAAAACAGATAGGGCAAATGTGGCAACACGTAACGCTTGTTAAATTCAGATGATAGGCTTAAAAGCCTTCATTAAACTCCTCTTTTTCTATGTATTTGTCATTTTTCCAATAACAGTCTTTGAAAAGACCGTCTGTGTCATGTCCATTGAGGTGGCTGGAGGTTTTCTGCAGTGGCCACGCCTTCTGGGACTCTGCCCCCACAGTGTGTGTTCACGTTAAGGGGAGCAAAACCTCTCCACAGGTGAACCCGTCTCCCCCACGGCTGGCTGCCTTTCACTGTCCTGGCCCCGGGAAGAGGCAGCCTGGGGGGCCCCCGGAGCAGCTGGAGAGTGAGGCCCGGGAGATGTCCCCAGGGCCTGGCCCTGCCTGGAACCCACTCTGGATTTTGACTACATATTTATAGCTCTCAGCACTCAAACTACGAGCTCCTTGATGACCCTATGACTGGTGGCTGTCCCCAGTTTTTTCCCTTTACGGCACCCTGTATCCGCATCACAGACTTGAGAGGTACAGATGGAGATTATGGGGCTGAAAGCCCCCTTGCAACACCCCTATTAGTGCCACAGAATGGAGGGAGTCCCAAAAGTCAGGATGACATATTGGGTGTGGTCCAACAGACAAGCGGGAGCCAGTGAGGTTTCTGGACTAGAGCCAGGAGAGGCCCATTCTTGTCCTCATCTATGAATTCCCAGTGACACTGCTCCTTGGGGGCACTTACATTCGCAGACAGGGAGGGTACTGGCCTCCCACAACCCGAGTGAGAAGTGCCCTCCTACCTGCCAGGCTTGGCCCGACTCACGACTCACGTACTGGCTCCAGGGACCATTCACGTGCGTCAAAGCTTACCCTTCCCATAGCCCACTCCCTCAGGGCCTGCTCCCTGCAAAAACGTTCCTTTGATACCCCAAGGGCCTCCCCACTAGACTAGGGGGAGTCTCTGAGGGCTGAGCTTGTCTTCTGCACCTCGGTCACCCCACAGTGCTTAGCCTCACACGGAGAACATGAATGAATGCTCAGGGGTCACTCGTATTTGTACGTTCAAATAGGCACATTTCAGAAAATCCTAATTCTCCCAAATGTGGCGAGGTTTTAGGCACTGGGCTGGCTGCTAGGCAGCTATTCGAGGAAAAGAGACCCCTGGAACCATGTCATGCAGGACAGAGAGCCTCTGGTGCCTCAGTGAAGCTGGGCAGGGACAAGCCACTGGGGCAGCGGGCCCCCACCCCTGGAAAACCCAGGCCCCCTCACCCCCAGAGGTGCCATGGGCATAGCTCTCCCCATGTGAGGGCAGGGCCCAACCACCCCTTGGGGCTGCCCTCATCCCTGCTCACCTTCTGCCCTCCTGCCTGCTTACCTGCCATCCCGATCCCAGTCGTACACCTCCACCTTGATGGTCCTGCAAGGCAAAGGGCCCGTGGTGGGGTGGGCTTGCCCCGGCACCTGCGTGGCCCTGAGACCAGGCCCTTCCCATGCTCCTGGGCCAGAAGCGCGTGCAGACACACCCACCAGGCTCCAGGGCCCTCGGTGGAGATGCAGCAGCCCAAGAGACAAAGGAACGATCTTGAGGCCTTTTAGCAAAGGTCTTAGGGACAGAGGCATCCCGAAAGCTGTGTAGCGACTTCCCTGAGCTTCAGGGAGGATGTGGAAAAACAGCCTCAGATTTCAGTTCACCCCACCTTCTCCTTGGCCACCCCAGATGGGACGCAGGTCCCAGGATGAAACCATAGTGTGGATTTATCAAGGGTGGGGGCACTGCAGTGGGAGTGTGGGACCTCAGGCCAGAGCAGGCTGGGCTCTCCTGGGGAGGGGTAACAAGACTGCAGGCTGGCGGGACCCCAGTCCGAGGAGTCTGAGCGGTGGGGAACCAGCCCAGCCCGCCCGGCAGGGAGGGGCCCAGGGCCCCCCTGCGTCAGGGATGGCCTGCTGAGCTTTTCCATTGCCACGACTGGCTCCTGAGTGAGGGTGTAATTATCTTCACATTTTAGCCTGGCTGCTTTGATTAGTTTGTTTTGACTCCTGTGCATGGGGCTGGGCTTTGGGAGCCCATTTTATTTTTAGCCCGTTTCCATGGCAACAGGCTAGCCGACCAGAGGTGGGAGGAGGGAGGTGGAGGGCTGCGGGTTAACCCTTGGTGCCGGTGGTCCTCCAGGGAGGCCCAGGGAAGGGGGAGCTGCCAGGGTCCCCCTGCAGGCTCAGGGTACCGTGAGGCGCCAGAGGCGTGGGCAGCCGGGGTCTCCAGCCGTCAGTCCTAAACGGGGCTCGCAGAGGCAGCCGCCTGGGCCGGGAATCTAGTCGCAGATCGTCTCGCCCGGGGCCGCGGCCCGTCTTTGCGGGTGGGCGACGAGTCGGCCTCGGGGTGGCGCGGCCCCCAGCAGGAGGCGCTGTCTCCCCGCAGATGAGCCTTCCCCGGGCCTCCGGGAGGGGTGCGGGTCGGCCCGCCACAGGGCACCCACTGTTCCCCAGGAAGGAACGTCTGGGAGGCCGTGCACCAGCCGGCATTTTTGTGACCGCACTGTTAAATGGGGGCAGGCATGGAAGCCCGTCATTTCAAGGAATCCTCTAAATTCTTGTGAAAAACAAAACACCGTGTTTCTCTGAAGTGAATTGTGGTGAAAGAAAAAAATCTAGGCCCCTGAAGGTGGGCTGGTGAGCTGGAAAGAGAAGAAAGAGGCTGGCATGCAGATGCTGTGGGACCTGGAGAGGTCACTGAACCTCTCTGAGCCACAGACCATCTTTTTCAAGGAGGGGTAATAGCGGCTTTGCCGAACAGCTCCAAAGCCGAATCGCGGAGCCCACCTGCCACACAGGTGGGTCTCCGTAAAAGGCCTCCTCCTCTCCGCTTTGGCGTTCGGCCACACTTGGATTGCTTTTCATAGGAAATTTACTTAAATCAGGGACACTCCTGCCTGGGTACCTGAGCTCCGCGACTTCCAATTCCTGGAATGACACGGCTGGAGGTGACCTCCATGGCATCCAAGCCTGGCCACCTGGCCAATCACCAGGGAGTTTTTCAGACATACACAGCCCCAGGTCCAGTTCCTGGAGGCTCTGGGCAGGGCCCCGGGATCTAGTTTAAAGGCTTCCTAAGCGGCTCTGCTGTGCATGTTCATTTTCAGATGGGGAAGCTGAGCCCTAACAGATGCACCCAGGGTCACAGAGCTGGCGAGGGTAGGAGCCAGGACCCCGCCCCACAATGCCAAAGTCCCCCAGTCCTTCCCAGAGCCGTGCGGCTCTGCAGGGGACTTTCAGGGACCGCAGCAAGGAGTGCCTCTCCTGAGACCACCAACACCAGCCCCTCAGGCAACTGGATCAGTGACAGCCACGTGCTCAGAGGCTGTAGGAGGACCCCAGTTACTGCCACAGCCTTGGATATCCCAAAAATCACTAAGGAGTTTTGTTTTGTTTTGTTTTGTTTTGTTTTAATCCCAGTGCCCGAGGGCCTGATTTAGCTGGGCTGGATAGTACTCAGGCTCGGGTAGTTTTGGCAAGTGCCCCGGCTGATTGGAATGCACGGCCAGAGCCACCGACTTTCTCTAGAGGAGAGTGCTGGGTTTCCACCCTGGTTGCACACTGGATCCCCTGGCGCGTGTTAGCAATCCTGACGCCAGCGCCTCACCCCGGAGGTTCAGCGTCAGTTGTTCTGGGGTACAGCCTGGGCAGGGGGACTATTAAAAGCTCCCTGGGGAATTTTAACTTGCAGCTGAGGTTGAGACCCCTGGGTGTGAGATTCCTGTGCAAACAGCCCGACCGCAGCAGAGGCTCCAGGGACAGCTGCAGCTTGGGGGTCAGATCAGCTCCGCGGCAGCAGCCTCCAGCACCCAGGGAGGAGGTGAGGGAAACGGTGCCCAGAGCCAGGGCCAGGCAGCGGCAGAAGCCAGACACAGCTCCGACTACTCTAGGGGCAGCTCTGTGCCCCTGTGGGCTGTAGGAACAACCCCTTGGCACAGGCCTAATGAAGGCTCACATCAGACCAACTGTGACTTTTGGGGATGGGACCCTAGAGGAGGGGCTCCTGGGTGTGGCACAATGGGCCTCTGCTGCCCACAAGATGAACATCTTATTTGGCATTAAAGGCTGAGAACACAGAGCCCCTAATCTGGGAGGCAGTGAGGGGGCCAGAGAAGGCTGCGGGTACCTTGTGGCCCTGTGTAACTGGCCTCCCCCCCCCCAGGGACTCTGTTTACCCCTCTGTAAAATGGGATAATCGCACCCACTTTGGCGTTGTTGTGAGAAGTCAACTACATCATTCACATGTCATTCACACCAATATTGGACACGTTCTGTTCCATCTAAAACACTCCAGCCTTTCATCCAAGCCCCTGTCTTCCACACAACTGCTATTCACCATGAAAATGTCAGCTCCACGAGACCAGGGAGTTTGGGTTGTTTTGTTCCCCGCTGTATCTTCAGCTTCTAGAACAGTGCCTGGCATATAGTAGGTAATATAAATACTATTAAATACCCATCCCCTGCCTGAGATCTCACGACTTGGTGAAGCTACCATGCAGTAACAACTCGCTCCTTCCACAAAATCACAAAGGGAAGCCCGGAGCGTGTGTGTGGCTTTCCCCACATCACACAGGGGCTCGGCTGGGAAGCCAGGCCTGGGGCCGGGAGCCAGTGTCCTGTGGGTCTCTGGACGCCTGGGGCTGCGGTGATGGAGCTGGGTCTGTGTGAGCCTCAGCAGGCCAGCAGGGCTGAGGGACGCCGGCAGAGCCCGCAGGCTTCCCTCTCGGCACACCCGCACACCCACAGCTCTATCTATAGTCTCCTCGGAGCAGAGCTGCACGTCTGCCTCCTAATGAGCCTCTCCAGGGCTGACAGGTCTCCAGGGGTTGGCCCTAAACTGACCGAGTCAGCCCAACAGTCCTAGAGGCTTCAGGGAAGAAGAGGGGTGTCGGGCCTCACTGGGGGGCGGGCAGTGACACTGGATGGCGGGGCCCCATGCAAGCCCAGCCATACTGCAGAGGCTTTCCCTCCTCAGTCTGCGTTCAGCTGCTTCTGCATGTGTCAGGTGGTCATACGAAGTGGCTGGGCCCCCTCCCAGGACTCAGCACACGGTGGGGTTCAAGGGAGAAGTATTTCCCTTCTCCAGCAGGCCCTCAAAAGTGTGAAGCTCCTGGGATGTGAGAGCCCCCAGTCCTAGGGGATCCCGTCCCCTCTCCAGGGGAGGACCCAGGACAAACTGACTCTCTTCCAATCCACTCATTCAACATTAAGGTGTGAGTGAGGGAGAGCAGTCCGACCAGGAGCATCTGGCTCAAGGGGGAATAAACCCTCAAGTTATAGAATGTTCAAGGGCAGAGTAGAGGGGCTTCAGGAAACGCTGGGGAAGTGCTTCTTGTCATCACCCACTTCACCCCACGGGAGGGCTGGCCTGGCTCTGATCTTGACATCAGCTCCTCTGACTCCAGCTCTGCTCAGCTGGCTCGCTCGGGTTTGGACTGGAGACACAGCAAAGGCAGGGGGGACCTCTGCCTCTGGGGAAGGCAACTTCCGGAGAAGGGGCATGTACCTTCTCCTTGCTTTGGCAAGATACATAAGCTCCAGTCCTCGGTTTCCCCGTCTGTGAAATGGGCATGTCACTAGGACCCAACTTCTAGGGTTGCTGTGAAACTTCAATTCGCAAAATAAAATAATGTATTCAAACCAATTAGGGCACAATTTGATCCATGTCCGAAAGACTTGGTAATCTTAACTGGTTTCCACCCCCATCATTCCAAGTAAACTGTCCTTCTTCACAGCTCCCTGCTTCTCACCCTCCCGGCCCTCTTCTTCACGGTAGGAGTTGATACTTCTGTTTGGATTCTCCCCTGAGCCCAGGCCTCTGCCCCCAGCTGCCTTCTCCGGGTTCCCTCCCAGCTCTCCGACCATCTCCGCGTCTCTCTCCAGCTCCCGACCTGTGCAGGGCCTCGGGCACCTCACCTCTGCCAGCTCTCTGTCCTCTCCCCTCGGCAGAGCACCACCATGCCTGTCCCACAGCCCACTCTGGCTCCCTTCCACTTCTGTCTCTGAACCCCAGCTCCAAACACAAATGACCTCTACGTCCCTTTCACCCCCAGATCTAGACTGATGGCAAGGCCTTTGCGTCTTCACCTCCAGGCTCAAAGCAGACCTGCCCCGAGTCCCTGGGCAAGCCCCCCGCCAAACGGGCCCCACTCACACAGGTCTTGGCCATTTGGAGGCCGCAGAGCATGAGGGTCACGAATACAAATTCTCTAGCCAGCCTGCCTGGCTCCAAATCCTGGTTCTACAATTGACTGGCAGTAAGATCATATGTGAGCCACTTAACCTCTTTGGGCCTCAGTTTCTTTACCTGTAAAATGTGGGTAGTATTAGCACGTTTCAGGGGAAACACTAATTGTTGGGAGAATGAAATTAGTTCATATACATAAATCACCACAGGAGTGCTACAGGACCCTTTGCTACTATTCTTCTTCTTCCTCTTCTTATTCTTATTCTTATTCTTACCTGTCTGTCTCCCACTCTGGCCTGGGAGCAACCTAACAGGGAGGCTCGGGTCTGATGTTCACTATGCCCATAGACCCAACATGGTGCCCGGTGCCAGGCTGGCTTGGAAGACACGGCTGCTGGATTAAACTGAATGTGTTTGTGAGCTTCAAGAGGTACCTCGGGGGGAGAGGAAAAGTGGCTTCGTTTTCCTGCACAAACCCGTCCCTCTGCTGCCCTGAGAGGGCCTCCCGGACGCTTGCTCCTCCCAAGTGGCTGTTGGGTACATAGGTCACCCTAGAGCTCAGTGGTAGAGGGGCCGCGTGACATGCCTGGCCCCCTCCATTAACACCACTGTCAGTCACGTCACGGTCAATCTGTTCCTGGCTGTGGAGAAGGGCCTGAGCTGCCTGGCCATGCTGGAGGGAAACCAGTCTGGGGCTCAGCCTGCGAGGGGGTGAATGGGGGCCTCTGGAGGTGCTCCCCACCAGCTGTACCCTCACTTCCACTGGTGGTTGAACAGTGAGCCCGGCTGCCTTCCTCACTGTCCCTGACAAGGCTGGATTCTCTGGGTGCAGTGTTGTCGGGCGTCAGCTGGACCCCCAACAACCTCTGGGTAGTGGGGCCACAGATCCCAATTCCTCCCACCCCGTGAGACTTGAACTGCTACGCTCTCCCATCCCCCAGTCTCGAATTTCCCCTCTGTTCCTGTCGCCTCTCGCTATCCCAATCATTCTTCCAGCAACCAATACCCCCCAGCACCTCCCAGCCTTCCCCAAGCCTCCTTCACACGGTACTGCTCCAACCAGACTGTCCTCCCACTCCGCAGGCCCCCGGAAGCCCCAGGACCCGGCCAGACATGTAACCGGGCTTCGTTTGGCTGGAATGCCTATTTTTGTCTCCAGTCTCATTTTGCACAATTATTTAGCTATCTAAAATGCAGATGTGTGCACATCTGAGCTCTCTGTGGTCAGACTAGAGGCTCCCTAGAGATGGAAACGCGGCTACATTCCCTTGAACGCCACACAACTGCAGGCGAGGCGTCGCGCACATAGTAGGTGGTCAGTGACCGCCTGTGGAACAGACGGGCAGATCAGTCCCCGCTAAGAGGCAGGAAAAGGAGCCACCTCATCTCCTGGATCAGCAACCTAATAGGGTGGCCTGAGGGTTTCCTGGAGGGAGACGGGGGTGTCTGAAGGCCATCCGCTCCGTCATTCCCACTCCACTGCGCCACACGTACCCAGTCAGGAGCCACTGTGAGCAGGCCCAGCTTGCTTGCTCAAGGCTTCCCCGGGGAGCCCTAGTATGTCCCTTCCCGACTGGCAGCTCATCCGCCGGCAACAGCGATCCCCGGGAAAGCAGGCCAGGTTCTCGTGACTTCACACAGACTGACGCCATCATACAGCACCCATTTTACGTGCCCCCCACCCCCGGCACTCAGCACAACATGTAATTATACGTTTCTTTGTGTGATTATCAGATTAATGTCTGCTTCCCCCATGAGAATGTAAACTCCACAAGGTTGGGTGAAGGGTGAAGACTGTGTGTTTGGTTTCCTGCTGATTTCCCGGGAGCTAGCGCAGTGCCCGGCACATGGTAGGAAGTCAATCAACGTTTGTGGACAAAATGCGGGATTTGGTATTTTATGCACACCAGGGCTTTCTTGTGTAGGTTGTGTCATGTGAGCTTCTAAGCAACGCTTGAAGGTAGGCGGACGTTTAAAACCCATTTTACAGATAAGGAAACTGAGGCTCAGACAGGTCAAAGCTTGCCCAGGTTGACAGCGCTTTTTGGTCACAGAGCCAGGGTTAGAAACCAGGTCCCCCGTATCTACACCCAACAACCTACACTCAAACAACAATGGTGAGAGCCGACATGTAATCAGAGCAGGGTGCAGCACATCAAAAAAGTTTCCTGGATTTTCTGTACTCCGCCCCTCTCCCCCCATTTAGCTTGGGATCCTGACTCCCCAGGGTCCATCTGCTAGGCGCTGGGGTTGGTGTGGCCACCTCTGCCTGCATCTAGAGCCCCCATCCTGTCTCCGCCTGCCCCTCCACTGGAAATCATGAAGAGAAAGGCTGCGGAGCTCCAGGCCGGGACACCCAACACCCACCAGGGCTCCCCGGCATCCCATTCCCCCTGGGGAGGTCCCCACCAGGGGAGGGCTGCCAGATCAGGGGGACAGCGGCAGGGCAGGGTGGGGAGGCAGGCCTGTGAGGAGAAGGAGGCAGACACTGCCCAGGGGGGCGAGGGGCAGGGACAGCACTGCCCCAGGGGGCTCTGCCATACTGCCCAGGGACAGCCCGCACCTAACACCCGGGAGGGACAGGTTCTCATCTCACCGGTCATAGTCCCCATTGCAGAGCGCTCTCACAGGAATGGAGAAGGTTTGCCAGACTGGGTTTAGGGTGTTCTTCATGACCTCGGTCTTGTGGCAGATGGTGAACCTGGTGAAGGAGAGACGGAAGGTGTCAGGTCTGAACCCAGGGAGGCAGAATCCAGGTCAACAGAGGGGCCAAACGATTAATCTCTGCACTTGCCAGGCAGTGGAAGCCAGAGCTGCATGAGGTGATGAGCTGCCTGTCACTAGCAGCATCCAGGCACTAACTATGGCCATTTTTTTTTTAAGATTTTATTTATTTATTTGAGACACAGAGAGAGAGCACGCGTGTGCACAAGCAGGGGGAGAGGCAGAGGGAGAAGCAGACTCCCCGCTGAGCAGGGAGCCCAAAGTGGGGCTCAATCCCAAGATCCCGGGATCATGACCTGAGCTGAAGGCAGACGCATAACCAACTGAGCCACCCAGGCGCCCCATAGATGGCCATTTCTTGGTGACACTTGAGAGAGGATTCCCAGCAGCAGGTGGGGAGTGTCAGGAGATAATGGGTTCTGCCCCCCTCCCCCACCTCTCTGTGTGACCTTGAGCAAGCCAGCCTCTGTGACCTTGAGCAAGCCGATCCCTCCCCTGTAAACTCAGGGAGCTGGCTGCTGTCAGATGTTCTTCATCTGAAATCCATGGAAGGATCTGTGGATGGGATTTAGGGGTTTGTGAACCCCTGAAATCGGGGTGAACTTGGGTGGGTGACTTTCATATGTTTGATGTTCCCCTGCCTGGAGCATTGTCTCCCCAGATTTCCATGTTCATGGCTCATCTCCTCACTTCCTTCAGGTCTTCACTCAAATGTCACCCGTCTGATAAAAGCACCTGCCCTGATATAAAATTTATAACCCCTGGTCCCCTGACCCTGACATCCCCCCCAGTCCCCTCCCATGCTTTTTTTCTACTTTACCTGTTATCTTTTGGCATAGTCTATGTTTCTCCTTATTTACTTTATGCTTTGTCACTAAAATGCAAGCTCCGTAAAGGCAAGGGTTTGGTCTTCCTTGATCACTGGTGTATTTCTGGTGCCCAGACCAGTGCCTGGCACTGAGTAACCGTTCACTAAATGTTTTTTTTGGAACAAACTAATGAATAGATGTATGTCTTAGAGGAGAGTTTCCACAGCTTTCACTGGCATTAAAGGCAGTGAAAGTGAGGCCCCTGGCTTAGACAATCTCTAAGACACTTTCGGCTCTCCCAGTGTGAATCCACCGAGCCTGCTTTGCAAACGAAAAGTGCCCAACTGGCTTACCCCGCCGGGCTCCAATCCAGCGTCCCTGCCCACACCCCATGCCATGCCTGCTGGCCCCGTCCTGGCAGCCTGCCCTGCCAACACGGAGGGGTGGCCAGGAGCCAGAGCCGACCTGGGGGCAGAGGCTGTCCCCCTGAGATTTCCCAGCCTCCCCCGCCCCAGCCACCTCTCAGCCTGGAAAGGTCACCCCGGAAAGTGCCTGGGCCCCGCCCGTGCCCACACAGCCTCTGCCACTTCTTCTCTGGCAATTTTCAAGTCAAAATGTCATTCCTGTCACCGCGGCTCAGCGTTTCTCTTCTCTGCTCCTTCTCGCCCGCCCACTGGCGTGTGGAGATACATGTGGGAGACCTCCCCACACACCCCGGAGCTGGTGACGAGGACAGGAATGGAGAACGGGGACAGGAGGGGGCCATGGCTGCCCAAGTTGGGGCAGGCAGGTAAGGCAGGAAGAGGAAAGGGTTGGGGAGGGGGGCGCGGGAGGGAGAATCAGGAGCAGCCCCTGGGCTTCAAAAGGAGGGAGTTCGCCTGCCTGTGCAGAAGCCGGGCTGGGCTCCAGAGACCTCCTACCTGGAACAGTTACACCCACCTGCTGTGGAACCCTCACAGCCCCCTCCATCTCTTTGGACCCACCGACTTCTCTGTCTCTTCTCCCTTGCCAACCAGTTTCTTGAGCCGGGTCTTCTGAGCTATTAGTCCGATTGCCTCCCTCCGTGCCTCTCCCTGAGCCCTGTGTAGTCCTGTTTCTGCTTTCAGACTCTGCTCTGAAGCTGCTTTCTTTAAGGTCCCCCAAGCCCCTCATCACCAAATCCACAGACCCCTCGACTCCCTGCTGCACTTGCCGTGGGGGCTGGGCCTGGTGTGGAAATGGTCCCTGCAGACATCTCATGGCTCAACTCAATTCACCCTGACTTCCGCTTAGGGTGTGTGGTGTGGGAGAGCATGAGTCGGACTGGTGAGGCTCCATTCCCAGGGCCCCTCCCGCCAGCTGTGCAGTCCTGGGCAAGTGACTTTCTCTCTCTGAGCTTCCCCTTCATTGTAAAATGGGGTGGGGGGGGAACCAGTAGCTAACACTGCCGGGCCCTGTTCTAATGACATATATGAACTCATGTGGTCCTCACAGCAACCCTGAGAGGGAGATGGTAGGATTATCTCCACTGCACGTACCAAGAAACTGAGTTGGGGAGGTTATAGGTGCGCTATCCAATATGGTAGCTTCTAGCCACACGGGACTATTTACCTTTAAATTAATCTAAATTAAATTAAAAATTAAGCTCCTCAGTCACACGAGCCCCGTTTCACAGACTCAACGGCTACGTGTAGCTAATGGCGACTGTACTGGATGGCAAGACACAGAACATTGCCATCATTCCAGAAAGTTCCATTGGGTTAAGAGACTTGCCTAAAGGTACACAGCAGGCAGCCCGGCAGACCTCTCTATCACATTCTTACTCCCAGAGGAGAGACTGGGACTGAAGAAGACAAAGTAGGTACAGGGCCAGCGGGACAGTGGGTGCTCTGAAGACGCTTCCTCCCCTTTCCCTCCAGGACATTCCACTCCCTGGGTTCCCTCACCGACCTTCCTCCTGACCTCTTCCTAACTGGGGGTGTCTCCCAAACCTACTCATCTCTCCTCAAACCCTGGGTAACCACCCTGCTTCCACCAGGTCAGCCTCCAACCTGTGCCCACAGACTGGCCCATCCTTTGGGGGCCTCTGGGTGGGTTTCTCCAGCTGCCCTTGGTGACCGCTCCTGGAGAGATCCAGCCCGTGCTTCAAGTGAAACTTGCCCCCAAATAAACTCCCATCGCCTCCCCCATCTGACCAGCTCCTTTGCCATTTTTAACACTCTGGGTTTCCCACAGCTCCACTACCGGGGAGGGGCTCTGACTTCAGTGGCCACCGCAGTCCTGCCTAGTGAGGTCTGCTCACTGTCCTTTTGCCCCCGTCCTCCCCTCCCCTCTTCCTCCCTGCATTTCCCGGGCGAGGCTCCGAGGCTCGCCAGCGCTCAGCACCTCCCACCTGTTCACGGTGTCAGTCACGAGTCTCTCCCTCTTCCCTGCCCCCTCCCCACCCATCCTACACAGGCTCTGCTAGAACAATCACTGGCAAACACTTTGCAACACACCCCTTCCCTGCTCCCAACCCCAAATCCCTCTCTCCTGGCCAGCCGGCCTTCACCTCCGAGACAAACCTGGCCTGACCAGGCGTCGCCTCTCTGGAGGAGACCTGTGTGGCCATTTCCGTGGGCGCCCGGAACATCACTCGGCCCTTTCCCTCCCTCCCTCTAGTCAAGTCAAAGTCAACAAGAATTATTTAAAGAAATCCTGCTGGGAGTCCTTTGGTGAGACAAAGACTCTTTTGTTATGCAAATGATCACACCTAATTTCCCTTGTTTTTTTTTCGTTCAGATTTAAAATCAGTTTTCCCTTGAAGTGAAACACACCTCCTCCCTGCTCCTCCCTGCCCCCCAGCACACACACACACACACACACACACACACGCACACACACACCCAGAGTTCCAGAATCAAGGGGAGCTTGGAGGAGGCCTTTCTGCCCTCCGCTCCGCTCCGGACACACCTGCTTTACACTCGCCTTTTCTCTAGCCTGTTATTCATCTGCTCCTCCCCCATGGACCCATTTTCTCCCTCTCCTTCCAAACCTGCTTCCAAGTTCCCCTTCTCCAGCAGTGTTTCTCTAATTAACCTCCCTGGCCCCATCGCTTCCCGGTTCTGCAGCATCCCAGCTCAAAGTGGCCACAGCCTCCCACAGCTGTGCTGCTTAAAGAGACCGTGGAGACTGCCTAATCCAACTGATTCATTTTCCTGATGAGAAAATAGGCCCAGAGAGGGGGCATAACTTGCCCCGGGTCACACAGCAAGCCAATGGGGTGGACCGAGGTCCTCAGACCCTCAACCTAGAATCTGTGCATCCGTGTGCACGGCTGACCTACATTTGCCGACGTGTTGTGTGTGTTTCCGTCATACTGTGGGTGGCTTCCAGATTAGGGAGAGGAGAGGAGGAAATGGGGGCTTTAAAGACGCGTGCAGTTTTCAATGAAGCCTATGGCAAGGTGTGGGACTGGCCAGGTAACAGGGTCCGGATTTGCCATGCTGGGCGTGTGGTAGTTGGGTGGGGGGCACGTGTGGTAGTGGGGTGTTCAGAGGGCTGCTGGCGGAGGAGGGGTGGGCTGGAGATATGTGCTGATTTGTGTGGAAGAAGGAAGGGGCTATTCGGAGGAACCCCTCATTCCCACCCTAGCCCTGCTTTCGCCCACTCCCCTCACCTCCAACATACCTAGCACCCACCATTGCTGAGACCCTCAGAATGGCACTGCTGGCTTGGGAGCTGCCCGTACCCCCCACCGGTCCCAACCACGTGTCAGGGCACTACCCAGGAGCCCCGGCTGCTACTGTGAGCAGGAGGCCCAGGCGGCACTGGGAAGAGGCAGGCCCAAGCCCCCCTGCCTGGAAGGTCACCACACCCCTCCATCCCTGATGCTGGAAAGGGGGTGAAGTGCTGTCAGGGGACTTACGTTCCATCCTCATTGCTTCTGTAGAACACCAAGAAGGGGTCGGACTTCCCAAAGAAATCCTTTTTGTCCAGCTTGTTGGCACAGAACTGCATTGTGGCTACATCCTGGTGGGAAGGAGGGAGAACAGGGGTGAGGCAGGAGACGGCTGGAGGGCGCCCCAATCCCTGTGGAAACACAGCCCCAAGGCCCTGGAAGAGAGGAGGATTCCGAGTACCAAGCTGGTTAAAGGACAGCATGTTACGTTTGCCCTGCACCAACCAAGGGCCAGGCCCTGGGCTAATACTGGGGGGGGTGGGGGGGTCTCATTTCATCTTCGAACAACCCTACTGGGCAGGTCTGATGGAGCAGTGGGGGGCGGGGTGGGGGGTTGATTCTGGAGCCAGTTGCCCCAGCTGAAGCGGGTGGATTCTGGAGCCAGCTGCCCCAGTTTGAATTCTGGCTCTGCCACTTTCTAGCTGTGTGACCTCAGACAAGGGAGGCAACCGCTTGGAGCCTCAGTTTCCCCTCTGTACCACGAGGCTGATCACAGCACCCACCTCAAAGGGCTATCGCGAGGACTAAAGGCAAAGTACTCGGCAGAGTGCAGGCCCATCAGTGTTGATGTGCGTGAGTCCGCTACTGTTTTACCCAGTGGCTCAGACAGGTGAAGCGACTCACCCAAGGCTACTCTGACCTCGGTCTGACAACCTCAGAGCCCTCGCTCGGTCCACAGCACCTCATCCCCTCACACACTAGGTGGCTCCAAGAAGACTGTCAAGATGAAACACCACGGGGGCTCCTGGGTGGCGCAGTCGGTTAAGCGTCCGACTCTTGGTTTCACCTCAGGTCATGATCTCAGGGTCACGGGATTGAGCCCCTGTGCTGAGTGGGGAGTCTACTTGGGATTCTCCCTCTCCCTCTGCTCCTCCCCTTGCTCTCTCTCTCTCAAATAAATACATCTTAAAAAAAAAAAAAAAAGATGAGACATCACTTTCACACCCACTAAGCCATGAGAGGCCCACCCAACTCTCTAAGGTAGGTGCGGCCCATTTTACAGCTGAGCAGCCTAAGGCTCAAAGCAGGGAGCAACTCCCCCAAGTTCACCAGGCAGAGCCCTGGGATCTGACTGCCGTGACCAGCTGACGGCCCCAGCGGACACAACACTCAGCCCAAGAGCACAAAGAAGGTAGCCAGGCCCTGGTGAGGATTGCTGGACCCCTCCCCTCACATGGCCCCCAGTTCCTCAGTTCGCTGCGGCTGACAGGACACTGGGCAGAGATGCCCCCATGTCCTCCTCTTCATCCATCCCCACGTGGCCTCTTCAACCTGAAAGGTCTGCATCCTGACAAACCAGCTGCCAGGTGGCCAGAGCTCAGAGCTTTGTTGTCTAGTCCCTGGGGCCTGGCTTGCCCTTCAGGGCCAGGGCCTGTCGGGAAGTCACTTAGCTCTCTCACTGCCCCCTTCCTGTCACTGGAGAAGACCGTCTCATGAGATCAGTGTCCTACAGGCCTGTGAGGACCAAAATGGTGGCAGAGATGAAAAGGCAACCTCCCACATGTTTGAAGGACATGGTCAAAGGTTTGGGAGTGGGTATGATATAATGGTTAAGAATATGATTGCTGGGGGAAAAAAAAGAATATGGTTGCTGGAGCCAGGCTGCCTGCTTCAGCTCCATCCCTTTCTAGCTGTGTGACCTAGAGCAAGTTGTTCACCCTCTCTGGCCTCAGTTTTCTCATCTGTAAAATTGGGTACCGGCAGCCTACCTCATAGGTTTGTTGTGAGGTTGAAATGAGTCAATATGACGATAGTGCTGGAAATATTATATGGCGCACACCAGGTGCCTTGTACGTGCAAGCTATTTGCACACTTGCCCCTCCCTGTACACACAATGTGTGTGGCCTCTGTCCCTGCCCCACCCCCTCAAATGCCTTCCCTCAAGGACATCTGACAATAGCAAACACAGAGCATCCTTCCCTTCACTCATTCGTTCCTTCAACACACATTTACTAGATACCGTATGTATGGCCAAGTCACTGATCTCCTTATCCCCTTTAGCCCTTAAAGTAACCCTTTGTCGCTTTTTTATAAATGAGGGAGCAGGGGGTAGAAGCAGCTAACCTGCCCAAGATCACCAGGTGGTAACTGGTCGAGTGGCAATTCAGCACGTATGGACTGATTTCAAAGTCACGTCCCTTCCGGCACACCCCTCCGCTCCCTGAGAGAGAGAGCGCAGTCCAGTTCGGGAGGCCCCCTTCCTTGCTTTCTTTGGACAGACTCCGGGGCGGGTATGGACGGGAAGGGGCTGGCCTCTGGTTAACCTGGGCCGGAAGTGCCCACTCAAGGGAGGCCCTGAGGAGGGGCAGGGCTGAGGCACAGCAGCCCGCACACAGAGGGGCCCAGGTAATGACAACTTTCATCATGTCTTTCTTCGTGGCCTACCCGAGAGGAAGAAGGAGCTGGACTGGGGTCTTGCAAGGCCTAGGAGCCCTGGGAATCCTAGAGCCTCCAGAGAAACCTAGGACATCAGACCTGGAATAAGAGACTGGCCGACTTTTGGAGCACTTACTACGTGCAAGTCACTGCGTGAAGCCTTCTCTTTACGCACATTATTTCACTGAATCCGCATAACAACCATATGAAGTAACTGCTACTCTCTCCATTTTACAGATGAGGAAACTGAGGCTTTTAAATCCTGTCATATGCCCAAGGTCACATAGAGGATCACCCAGGCGGGGCTTTCTCCCTCAGCCTCCCAGAAAGATCTCTCACCTTCTAAGCCGGCTCCCTGCAGTCACTGTATCTCCACAGTAGAAAGTTCCAATCCCACCCCATGTTGGAGGGAGGGAGCATTTTAAATGCCTCCCTGGGGAGCTCTATCCCATGGCCTAGAAAAAGGAGGAGGCCTAGGACCAGGTGGGCTCCTCCCAACGCTGGCTATAGAATTGGTGAGGCCCATGGGAAAGGGGAAATGTGACAGCAGGGCATTGCATTAAACTGAGCATAGGCCCTACGGGACCGCACCGCTCATAGGCCCACCAAGCCGGCCCTCGCTCCTCCCACAGGGGCAGCGGGCTGTGGCACCAGAAAACACCGCCCTTCAGACTCTGCTGAGGACAGCAGAGGCGGATAGCCCAGCAAGGCTCCCTGAGTTCTGGGCTCTCAGCCTCAGTTTCCTTCTCCGTAAAGTGACCTGCTGGGCAGGCCGATGACACTGTCCTTTAATGCCAGGCAATTTAGGCTTCCGTGCCGATGGCACTGGGAGCATCAGGGGACAGGGACGACACTGGGGAGGCTGGCACTCAGGAGACAGTCCGGGAGTCCAGACCCCCTCCGGCTTCCCCAGGATACGGCTGGGTTGGAACTCCAAATGTGACCCCACCCATCTGGAGGTCACCTGAATGAACTCAGGCAGGCCACACACAACAAGCCGCACTGGTTGACTATAAAATACACACTTACATTGAAACAACCAAAACCAATGCCACAAAATCCAGGGGCAAAAGCTCTTAGTGTCGCTTCCGAGGAGAACCCCTCAAGGCCCTGCAAGATCAGGAAGGGAAGCAGAACGTAACAGATCATCACGCCCAGGACCATTCAGCCAAGGCCACCTGTTTGGAGCTGCACTTCTGCCCCCTATCAGCTGAGCAGCCCGTTGCAAGCGATGTCACCTAAGCCTGGGTGCTCTCTTCTGGAAAAATGGAGTAGGAATGGCCCCCTGAGATCCCATCCTGAAGAGTAAAGCCAAGGGCCTTTGTGAAACACTGGTCCACAGTGCAGAGCATGGAGCAGCTGTAAGAACGGGAGCCATCTATTCTTGCGCTGAACCCTATGCAACCGCCAATGTTTAACTGGTGTCTACCTATGAAAATGGCAGTAGAATAGGGCTCTACCTAATCTGTGCCAAGCAGATATCTTTATGCCTATCAGTTCCTTTAATCTTCTCACCAACCCCAAGAGGTAGGAACTATTATTATTCCCATTTTAAAGATGGGGAAACTGAGGCCCAGAGAGGTTAACACCCTTGCCCGAAGCCACACAGCTATTAGGAGGAGAAGCTGGGATCGGAGCAAGACAGTCTGGCTCCAAAGCTTAATAACTGAGATTCCAAATGATGACCCCAAATCATCCCGATAAGTTTAATTATGTTCTGTAGCCTCAGTTTGAGGAGTCAGAGAAGTGTGAAATCCATTTTAGAAAGGCCTCCTCCGTGCAAACTAGTTAAAATTACAGGGGAAAAAAAAAAAAAAAAAAGCCTGGCTCTGAAATTCAGCTAACTGGAAAAATCCTCCAATGAGCCACACCTCATTCCGGCTGATGGCAAATCCATGAGGTGTTGCTGGCAGCTTATTCTGCCGCTCAACCTGATCCGCCCTCCCTAACACAATCTAGACCCAGAAACATTCACCAAAAGCGCTTTGCGATCATCAGTACTGTCTTGCCACTGTTGAATCCATGGGGATAAAACAGACCTGCAGTGAGACTTCTAGGCTGTGACCACAGCAAGCTTCTTCCCTCATGAGGGCGCACCCGCTGGGGAGTCCTTGAGACAAGGCACCGTAGCTGTCTCGGGACTGTGCTTTTTTTTTTTTAATTTTAATTAAATTCAATTAATGAACATAGAGTGTATTATTAGTTTCAGGGGTAGAATTTAGTGATTTATCAGTCGCATAGAACACCCAGTGCTCATTCCATCATGTGCCCTCTTTAATGCCCATCACCCAGTTATCCCATCCCTCCACCACCACCCTCCCGGGGACTGTGCTTTTGAAGGTGGCTCTGAGTTATGTCAATAGTCATATCACACAGACAAGGCTTTGACCGCTCCCCTTAAGTGCAGGTTAGTGAATGGACCCCAGGAAGAGTCTGGGGAGTGGCTATAGATGGACTGGGCCAGCAGGATTAGGAAGCAGCCAATCCTGGCTAAGGTCAGAGGTCCGGCTGTTTGAAGCCTCAGCTGGAGGGTGGGGCTCTCTGAGCACGTGAAATGCTCTTCCCAAACCAGAAGCATCTCTGGAATCAACTGTGGAGAAGATAAACAATTCCTGCAATATATAATTTCCAGCAATTTCTGCCTTTTCGCCCTATCTTTTTAAAAAACATATTAACTTCTTCGGAGCGCCTGGGT